CTCGTGTCTGCTTATTGATGAAAAACATTGAATTATCAATTAATGCCGAGGTTAACAGAAAGTCGGTCATGGGAATTTCTAACTTCAATAAATACCATTAGAGTCAGCAAATTCTCCATCTAGATACAAGCTCTGCTATTCTACCACAACGAATTTCTATTACATCTTATTTTTCCGTCGAATTTGTACCTCGTGTAACGAATCGATTGAACACTGAATGAGTAGAACATAACAATTTCCTAATTCTAATACAAATCCAAATAAGTTCCCTTTCCGGCCTACTGCCATATATCAAACGAAATAAGCACCACCACCAAGAGTTCAATGAAAAAGAGAAGGCTGAAGAGTTCTGCGGCAATTACAGAAATTCCACTTAGTACTTTACGTCGCCAATTTGTTTGTAACCGTCCATATGACCGTCTTAGTAAAACAGAGGATTGAGTGATTTCCCCTAAGAGCAGAGTGTGATGCTGCACGAGTTCAGGTACAGCATGTCTAGGCTTTTGTAAGACAACCGGTGATTGCGATATTGGCGAAAAGGGTAGACCGCTTTGTGCCCGTATAAAAGAACATCTAGATGGAAAGTTGAAAAGTGGACATAATCTGGGTACGTACAGGACACAAAAACAAAGATTTTGATCTCGAAGTGGAAGTCACGATCCACCACGATTCCCCCCAGCGGTTTTCCGCCTCATCTTGGTTCGGAGGCTTTCGTGGATGTCAGACTGTGATGTACAGCGGAAGATCCACACCCTCACTAAGAGTAAACCAGTATCACGATCCGTCATCATCTCGGTAGCAAACTAGTCGCATGGTGGCAAATCTCCCTCTGATCCACAACGGCGGCGACTGCCTGGTGGCGTCGACGTGGAGCAGACTTTGGTCAGGTTGTCCTCGAGACTCCAGGAAACCACAATGGCTAAGACAACAACTCTCCGGAGAATGGGAGCTATGCTGTGGTCCGCACAACTAGTGAAGATGGGTCATCCTAGTATCAAATATCAAGTATCACTACGGAAAGCACGGTCGTCAAACCAAGTATGATCAAATCTAATTCCCACAAAATCAACAGATGACAGAGGTATTGTACGTTGCATTCGAAATGCTTTCAGGTGAAGAGAAAATCAATGTGAACGTTTGCACGAACTACCGTCAACATAATAGCGGTTGAAATGTGTTCAGCTCTGTCTTTTTCATGAGAGTGTTCAACCATAGGCGGTCTCAACACCTCGCTAGCAGCAGAAGGGTCACCAGTTGGAAACGATTGAAAAGACCGCATGAACCGGAAAAAACCCCATCTCTTTTCCATTTTTCCCAAGACCCTAGAAATATCGCCAGGAGCAAACATTCGCAATCATCGACCCAAATTAGCACGCAAACTGTTTAACTCGGCGCCACTCTAGTACTAGGTTAAAAACATTTAATTTGTGGAAGACTTGATTCAAATGATCGATCTATTTTCTGATAACAACTTAAATCTAAAGCTTTACTGAAATGCATTCTAAATGAACAAAATGAAAACCGCATTCAATTTTGTAGCAGCCCCAAATAAAATTCCTTTATCTAAGCATACCATCTCGGCTGAAGCTTTCGGGCGCCTTTGCTTGGCGTCAACTTCACTATCGTCACTTTTGTGTTGGATCTGAAACAAAGTGGAACTTTTACACAGAAACAGATTTTCGATCATAATTGTACAACTCGCGATTTCACCAATGCACAGTTTTATACGGGCTCCGAAAACATTTACACACCTTTCGCCATGGCAATTTGTCATGGTGGCCAATTGATACTCCACATTGCTTAAGCAGAAAACGTAGTACAGAATGCAACTGCCGCTCCGATACAGCGGTATCGAGATCATTTCCACAATTACGGCTACGCACCCTCCAATCTAACATCAGATGCATGGCTTTTTCCCGTGGTAGTACATCTACCACTGCTGTGAGGACGTCACGAGCTGTAAACTAAGCAGTGTTTCTTACTGAACACTTCAGTGCTAGTACTGCAGAATCACACAAAAACTGAATTAGGTAAACGAATTGTTTTGAATTAAAGAGTATGCGAAGAAATATCCCAGCGATTTACCGCTTCGGAGTGGCTGGGAGATTTTCCGAGGTGTCGGACTGTGGTGCACAGCGGGGAATTCATTCACCAGCAGTCCCCTAAGCTAAGAAGGAATCCGGCGTTTCCATCATGAAACCCAGTTAGGAGTAAATCAATAACAGGGTCGACCATCGGCCTGGTATCAAAGCCGCATGGTGGTAAATATTCCTCTGATCCACAAGGGCTGCAACTGCTTGTGGTGATGAGGACCCGGGGCAGACTTTGACAAGGCTGACCTCGCAATTCCAGCGAACTACAATGGCTTAACTGGCAAATCTCCGAAAAATGGAGAATATGATAGGGCCCGCACAACCAGTGAGGATAGGCAGTCCAAGTATCCGGGTATGAAGAAATAACTCAAAGGACCGACTTTCTATAAACCTCGGCATAGATAGTTGATATATTTATTCATACGGTCTTGAAAAATAATCTTCTTTAACTGAAGCGAGGTTGGTATAGGTCTTCGTCCACTAGTAATACCACGGCTCTGAGGAAGGCGAAATCTCCAAAAAGTCAGGCATCGACCAACAACACCAACAACAACGACAACGACAAAGAGGACCTGTACCAAACTCGCATCAACTAAAGAAGATCACAATGTTATACCTTTTTATCTTCTGCCTATTATAATTTCGCAGCAGGGTACTAAGCGAAATACAACCACAACGTTGCTGAGATATTTGCAAAACTCTGGACCGCAGGTGTCTATGGTGGGGAACGAACGCGCTATTGTCCTTTCCGGGGAGTAACGCGTTCACCACCACCACACCATGCGGGTCCTTTATTTCGCCTGTCTCTCAGCTATTTCTATCGATCTTTGCCACAGCAAACACCCGTCAGCGGGACTGATCTGAGGTGCCCAAATCGGTATAGAAGCCAGTTAAGCTGCGGCTGTAGTTGAAATCACAATATTATACATTTTTCTTTTCTCCCTACTATAATTTCGCGTTAGGGTACTAATCGAAATACAACCACAACGCCTCAAGTTTTGCGCGTTGATGTTTTCGATTCCTGCGCTAGGATCCGCACATTCACTTCAAAATCATTGCCGTTGTGCTTTTGTGCCCTATGCGTACCTAGAGGGGTGTTTAAACGGGTTTTAGCTTTTCCATCTAGATGTTCTTTTATGCGGACACAAAGTGGTTTACCCGTTTCCCCGATACATTCCTCGCTGCATGCATTACATGAGATCAAGTATATTATCTCTTGAGGCGTTTTGGATAAATTTCAAAAATCCAAAGATGAACCGGAAGGACGAATGCCTCACTATCACGCGTGACCTAGAGCCCTATTTCAAAATGATATTTAGACCCCGTGGCGTGTCTTGATCGCGACTCCACGTGAACTACGTGTGGGATAGTCCCGCACGTAACATCACGGTGAGTGGCCTTCCTGTTCAATATGGCGTCTATTTGAAAGTTTGATCTTCATTAATACTTTAACCTTCTTTTCCACCGAATAATAAAAAGTATTCTAACATAAAGTACGTCCAGGCGAAATCGCCGAAACGTCAGCCATCGATCAATAACATCACAAAAACAACGACAACGACAACGAAGATCTGAACCAACCTCGCGTCAGCTTAAGAAGATCAGTTTATAAGATCACATAAATAAAAAAGTTATAACATTGTGATTTCAACTACAGCCGCAGCTTAACTGGGTTCTATGCCGATTTGGGCGCCCCAGATCAATCCCGCTGACGGGTGATTGCTGTGGCAAAGATCGATAGAAATAGCTGAGAGACAGGCGAAACGAAGGACCCGCATGTTGTGGTGGTGAACGCGTTACTCCCCGGAAAGGACAATAGCGCGTTCGTTCCTGCACCATAGACACCTGCGGTCCAGAGTTTTGCAAATATCTCAGCAACGTTGTGGTTGTATTTCGCTTAAAGAAGATCAGTTTATAAGAACATATAAATAAATATGAAGAAACACTTTCAATAAACCATCTACAATATACCAAGGTAGCTATTAGAAAAAATCAAAAGTCACCTACCTAATGAATTGTCAAACAGTGCCGGAACTTTAATCTTAGTAATTTGGCTTCCGTATTGTACGGCAAATGATAAGTTGTCAACTGAGATCAGCAACATTGATGGAGATATGGTGAACTGGAAATTTCATGAAAACTACCGATTCTACACGTTACCCCAAGACTACAGAGATGAGTTGAGTACTCCTTTAATAAATGCCCCTACTAAAGAGATAAACAGAGGCCCCTAATCATATCTTACTCTGGGAATAACTGCAACGGCGCATTTTATCTGCCCGGAGTACAGCCCGATCGAATTATCCATCTCCAACACAACTGTTAAGTCGCCATTCTAAAGAGCAAAAGATGATAGCACATGGTAATTGCGAACTAGGGACACCGAAAGAAAAAGCAACGACCTTCCCAGCACAAAAACTGTGACAGCTGAAGTGAATTTTGCAATTAAACTGCCAACATACTCTGATCCCAACAGCATCGCGGCATGGGACAAAACCTAATGTTCCCGACGTTGTGATGTTCCCAACGGTGCGCACGACTCTAATAGATCGTAACTGACCGACAGCTCCAAGAAAAAAATTCAGAAAATCTTGCGAGAGCACGTTGTGCGAAAGAAACATCTGTAAGGAAACAATGTGGTTAAAACACGTGCATTAATTCGTCTCCGGTGGTACATTATTTCATTAAAATAGCAAGTGTAAAGGCAACTAGAAAGCAATTGAAAATACCTTGCTAGCGATTTCCCCACTGGCATCTCTTTTTGATGGCTCTGCCCAAATATGATCGAGACACAATTCGGCTAACAAAAGGTCAAAATCGGGTTGACGCTGAAGTTCGCGACTGAATACCTGCATCCTAAAATGCCGTTTGAGATACAACAGAAAACTTAAAAATACTGTGAAGTACTTACTACATTAAGACACCCACAGTGTATGGATCAAAATGTTCAGCATGCAATAAAATATAGTCGCACTTTCTTTTTATGGCAATACGAAAATTCCTCTCCGATATGTTATATTGGAATCAACAACACTTGGTTAGCTGAATATGTAGATGGTCTGTCTCCATTGATTGTGCGGGTCCCAGCACAATTTCCATTTTTAGGAGTTCTGCTGGTTTAGCCACTGTGGTTCCCTGGAGTCCCGAGGTCAACCTGGCCGAAGTTTGCCTTAGGTCGTCACCATCACAGGCAGCCCCTTGTAAACCAGAGGAAGATTTGCCACTATGCGATTAGTTTGATACCAGGATGGTGGTGGATCTTGGTATTGGCTTACTCTTAGCTGAGCTTCCTAATGGAAACGCCAGACTCTTTCTCAGCATGAGACACTCTGCTGGAGGTGGAGATCAATCCCCAGGTGTATATCTCACGCCGCCCCGATACCCGGGAACATCTCCTAGCCAACGATATAGCAATAAACCGTTGGGAGGTGAATCAACAATACATTACGTAACTCAGTCCTTTCTGGCTCACCGTTTTACCATGAAAAATCCGTTTTCCTAATTTCAAACTGCGACCTATTAAATCAAGGGATCCCCTTCTGACAAGATCCAAACTGAGGTGTACGGTATTTCATCCGAAAACCCAATCAACACTAACAAAAACACTATAGCAGTAGCAGCTAAGTAACCAGTGCTACTTTCTCATCAAAACGGCAAAAATAAATGATTTTACACTAAAGTAATATGTTAGCCAATTACAGCTGGTACTAGCGAACATACTTTGGTGTAATTATTTGATGAACCGGATCATATAATTGTGAAGCTGTAGTGTTTGCTGCTTCCGAGTGTTGGCCGAGAGACCTAAATATGTAACTAAATATGGTTTACGTTCCTTTTATGGGACAATTGTCCACGACATAAGCAATTCATGAATAATGCTAACGTTTCAGACAACCACAATGATGCTGATATGTGCAAAATTCCAAACTGTAGGTGTCTGCGGTGAGGAACAAATGCGCTATTACCTTTTCAGAGGGTTAATGCGTTCACCACTACACCATACGAGTTCTTCGTTTCGTCTGTCTTTCAGCTAGGCAAAATGGTAATGTTAGTTACCGATATTAACCACCTAAGTCGAAATTACTTAATTTTCAAATGTTACAGAACCGAGCACTTTTGGCAATAACCGTCTGCTCTATTAGTTTTCGTGGGTAGTCCTTTTTTCACAATAGTTTTTAAATTCTGGTTAATTAGCGCTTTAGTAGGAACAAACAACAAATACTTCGCTGAATAAACGTTCCTTCTGTACGAAAGCAAATATTTTCAATTATATTCCAGATACGATCTCAGGAAAATAGAAACGGTTTCCATCATACCCAAAAATCAACGACAACCAAATCCCACGCTTCAACAATGTTCCATGCAAATAACTATTTTCAGGATTAATGAGAAAATGTGGTTCCTTAACCCTAATTGCTTCACTACCCACATAGGAGAAAAGATCGAGAGCGCCGGACTGTCAGTCGGTGGCGCATGGGGTGGATGCGGGAAGGAGCGAGTTCTTGCCATACGAGCTGTCATTGAACGCGTATGAACTGAGCGAATTAGCGACCCACTTCCGACCGTACCTGAGCCAGTATGGATTCGTCCCGTATTTATAGAAGCACCAGAACCTGTAAACAAAATAAGGACGCATGGATTTCCTTCGTGATACGAAAAAGAACTCATGTTCAAATCCTATATATCATCTGCGAAATCAGAAAAGTTCTAAATGTCTTTGTCTCATCCATTTAAACCAACGATGATGAGGAGCGAGACACCGAATTGTTCGCAATCGTAGCACGAATTGCTCTCAAGAAGAAGAAATATAAAGGGGCAAAACACATTTCATAAGCTGAAAACGTTTGAAAGTGAGTCTAAAACGCTTCTTCAGAACAGCAAGTAGTAATGGAGAACAATGGTTTTGGATATAGCATGAAAACAGCCGGAAGATTGTTGTTGGGATTCACTGACCCACAAACACAAGTGCTGGAAGTCTACCGACACACAGTGAAAAACAGTCCCAAGCAAACCTTTTCGTTTGCATATCACTCGTAGCACAACGCAACAGTGCTGCTGGAAAAAAGTTTCATCCGATTTTCCCTATTAAAAAACGAGAGGACAGTATGCATGGGTAACAGCTAGTCACTAAAGAGCTAGAAGCTACGAAATTGTAAACGCGTTTTCTGGTCATCCCTATAAAAACATATTTTCGAAAGCGAATTATAACCGCGCTAGGAAAGTTGTTCAGTTCTCACGGTTAAAGACGCGAAGGTTTCACTACTGCACGTATCCAGAACTATCCTTCTTTTTGGAAACGCTAGACAACGTTGAAGGAGAACTCATGCAGCCGAGCGCTGGCAGTGTTCCGTCAACGTCTAATAACCAAAAAATTTAACCTGTCCAGCGTAACAACTGCTCTCCATTCAATCTCCACTTTACCACTTTCATTTGACTAAACCACGTCCTTCAAAGCTATTCCTCGGTTTATTTCAGAGGATAATGATGACGGACAGGACAAAACAGTACAGGCTTCAAGGAAATTCCCTCCAAATTCGTCTGCTTCCCACATTGAATAGTTGATATTTCATAGGATAAACTCCCAACAGGAACAATGTCTGGAAAATACCATAGCTACACAGTAGGAAACACTAATAGAATAACAGTTCTATCAAAACTCTCGCATGATCCATATCATGCCCGATAATTAGAACAGACTTAACAGAAGAACAATCGGCGCTTCATCAGCGTTGATTGAGAAAGGTGTGGACTGCACAGTATATATCAGCTTAGCACGCTTGGAGGATCCACGATGGGATTTCTTTAAACATCCACACCAATCCCGTTCCAGCAACATTGATCAACTGATCCGCGAACTGCATATAACACATCTCACCTTAGTGACTATTACAAGTAGGCTTTCAAATAGGCTTAATAGCAATGGGCTGAACAACTAAAAGGTTTAACAGCAATAAAACTATTCTTAAACAGATCCCTTCTAACCACTTTGTTCCTACAGTGAACAGATCAGATTGTGCTGCATTTTAAAATGACAATATTTGGCTGATGTGAACAAATGAATTACGCACCCATCAACTATAGGTAAACAACAGAACACCGGAATTTCAACCTCCAGTTTCTGAAGGGACCGTCAAGCATCTATTTTTAGGAAGCACAATTTACATGCAAAAAGCTAATCTAAAGAAGGATAACTGGGGAAAATCGAAAGAGATATTTCATGGAATTCAAAATAATTTCGAGCACCGGACAAGGAGGCAGATCTAAAGAAAACCGACAAAAAACTCAACCTTACTCAAATAATTAAATTTCCCAGTCATGTGAAAAGATGAATTTTGACTTGAATCTCCATGATCTAACTTCCCTAATCTCCTTACTAAATGTTGACGAACGAACAGAGGTATAACCCAGTGGCTAGGTATCTACTATAGCTGCCATAAAGACAACTATACCACCGATTATTAATTACAACCAACCAATTCTTAATCGCATTCACTTATAAATAAAATGACATAGTCTCACAATGTGAGAGCACACCTAAATAAGACTGACCAGCATCGAATATTCCAGTCATAAAAAAAATGGCAGAAAGTATGATCCGTATCATGTGTAGCCCTGGTATTCATTTAGGAATCTAATAAGCGCCAGTGAAGCCTGAAATCGTTTTGCCGCACACCATTCGTCGGATGAGTGGGAGATCGCCGAGTTGATTCCGGTTATCATTTCACGAGAAACTGGCGGCGAATCACCAAATTAAGGGGTTGATTGAAAAAGAGTCGCAAATCAGTCAGTTCAACACACCAATTGAAATTATGTTTTACTAGAACGCCCAAACAGGTAGAGGCAGTTCATTTGCAATGTTTGAAGATGAAAAGATAACTCAGTCCTACCTAGGCCATTTTCTGAAAACGTTGCAGTTCTGTCACGAACACAAATCGCTTGCAAATTAACTAATGAGTTCTACACTTTACCTTGTAAACGCTGAGCACTGATTGGGGTACTCTCTAGATGGAAGAGTGGCGTTCCTTGTGTCGAGCTCACCTCCGCACGACGTTTTTCCAACAGTTCTATAGCCGATCGGACTTCATGTTCCGAAGTGATACGTATTCGTAGTAAACAATGCATCTGAAAGAACCGTAAAGCACCAAAGTTCTTAAAAGGAAGGAATTCTTAACTCGATAAACACACAAGCACTTAAACAACAAGTGGTTAATTTTCAGGGTGACTATTATAGTAATAAACCTCATTTGAATGATCGAAGACCAACAGACAATCTTCCTCCGCTCCAATAATCGAATACCTATACTTTTCCCAACAGAATAACCATTCTGTTAAAGAATCTGTAACATGTTTTCTAAAGCTGATCTCTTAGATCACAATACACTACTAATGAGCATACAGATGTACACATAGATAGATATAGGCATATGTATATATAAATATAATATGCACGTATATATACAATGTACGGATAGATATATATACATATACAAGAATACATGTGCATACACGCATGCATATATACGAGCATATACACATGCATATTTTATATGTATATACTTATAAACTGCAATCCCATCAATCATCGAGTAACATAAGTGGATACCAGAAAGATCTCTAGTCGCCTAGCCTGTTCGTCTAGCGAACGGTGTGAGTGGAGATAGATAAGCTCCTCGTCCATTCAAGAAATGCACCGACGAGCTGCTTATGTGTAATATTTTACCAAAAAACTCAAAAGCCACCCTAGGCCCTCTGGGAAACTACGTCGTGGGATAGGGACCAGGACCTGTGCCCACCAGTAACTCGATGACTCACAGAGTGCGAAGTGGTATAGGTAGTGTACGAGGAAATCACTTCAAATTACCTCTTGGTTTGAATATCACAGCTAGTAACTCATTCAACGGATGCGAAAGAGAATATAATGCTACTACTTCTTGAGTCGAGGTGTCTCGTGAAGATATGTCACGCTCAACAAGGAGGCCAAACTTCGTAACATGGACAGCATGAATCTTTAAAGATCGAAGCTGAATCAAGTGAAATATGTCTGGATTGGAAGTGTTTTAATGACGTACGCATATCTCAACCGCTTAAGCTTACAAAGCCAACATATGGTTGGTCTTGCGATAATTTTTTCCGATGAAAAAGGTATACTCACATCAAACTGCAGTCGATATCCGAGCGGATGAGAGTCATTAACAGCGATGAACATCAAATCACGTGTGCCCACCAAACAGAAGAATTCCTGCGTACAAGCAGTTTCTATTTCGCTCTTCGACGGTGGAAATACGACCCACAGCAACTAAACAAGAATCAAGAATTTGCAAGAAGGCCAACATGAGGAATGATCAATGCAACTTTAAGTATAGAGGAAGAATTGCTCTACTTCGTAAATATGTAACTGAAAAGATTTCTTTAAAAAGTTTTTACTTTACATAAAACCCTTTCACTATAAACTCCCTCTGAATATTTTGAACCTTTAAGCTGGGTTAAAGCGCATTGCTAAAATTGCTGGGTGCAAAATAACAAACTATGAACAGCTAGATGTAAAAAGAATAAAAAGGATGAAGCACTCGGCGTTGATCAATCCCTGGTGGATGTGCCATGCAATCGAGTTCATTAAGCATCGTTAGAGTTGACTGAATTCCTCTTTTGGCGTACAGATGACCCGCGGTGGCTACCGGTTAATTGAATCAGCACTGCCAACCTCCCTAGGAAGTCTGGTACTAATCTGTCAACCTCTGAGGGACGGAAGGCGTAGTGAGTCTTGGGCACGGAGATCGATCCCATGTGCTCCGACCACTGCACTACATGCGCCCAACAGCTAAGTGTAGGATAAGACATATATTAAGGCAACAGTACGCTGCTTTCAAATTTAATAAGTGAACGCTTAAATTTCACTGCTAAGAACTAGGTACAAAATCGGTTCCCGGCCATTCAAATCATTACGACCATTGACCACAATTCATAGATATCTGTTATAGTTTTAACCTTGTGATGGAACTTTATTTAAGCAAAACTGTTCCTGGGTCTCATAACCAGACAGAAAAGTCAATAACACTCAAAGGAAAGACTCATCTATAGTTAAAGCAATGGATGGAAAACTGCGATAGTTCAAAACGTCGTTTTCTCATATAGTTATAACTAGTAAATATTGTAGAGGGAGGATTTAAATAGTTATTATTTGCTAAGTTGTAAAAACCATTTACGAATGCATTCAACGAACATATATCACAACGTTCAGGCCACCAAACACATAAGTTATTGGAAACAGAAGGCCTTTTAACAGTGTTTTATATAAAGAATGGTTGATTTAGAAAACCCGTGCAATTAGTGTAAACATTCTCCTTAAGACAACTTAAGAGCTCTTGTAAGTAGCATATTCAAAATCCCGAGAAGCAAAGAGCGAAAATAAACATCGAATGTCTGATGGAACAAAGTTAAACTGGTAAATTTCAAAGCATAGCACAGCCGAACAGACGTACCTGCCTAATGCTAAACGGAACGTTATGTCGTAGCAGCAATCTACCAGTTCCTAATGAAAGCGTTACTTCACTATCGACTGCTAGGGCATACACAGGCGGACCATCGCCGCAGTTTTGTTGGCAGAAAAGTAACTGAAACGTGTCTTGAAGTATTGTAAGGCAGGCAGTATGGATTAATAAGTGGATTAATGAATAATCGTCTCTGAAACCAATGTTTCCTTAGTTACAAGGTCCCATACTATCACGATGAAGATCAAGGTTGTTTTCATCCTACCAAAAGTGAGAGTGAAGCGAATGTTGTACCTGCTACCTATTCACCTGCAGCTCTGTTAATAATAAAACAACTTGATGAGGGGCCAGCTTTGATTCTGAACTTGTTCAAAAAACGTGGGTCACAGTTATCGCCCGAGCCTCATTGCTCATACTGCTTTTGGAGAGAGCTTACAATCCACATCAAGCACAACCATGCCCATATACACGAATATGTGTATAAGATAAAGGATAAAGCACCCGGCGTTCATCAACATCTCAGGAATGAGCCATGTATTTGACTTAATTGAGTATCGCTAGAGGTTACTCAATAGATATCTAGTCCATGTAGGGAAAAGTGATGGCCTATCGATGTACCAGTTCAGTGCTGCTCTCCTCCCAGACAAGCCTGGTACCTATTTGCCAAACCCGACGGAATGGATGGGTTAGTGTCCCCTGAGAGAGAGCGATCGAACCACAGACCACGTCTGTATCGCAGGGCAAAACTAACCATTGCGCTATACACGCCCTATGCGAATACGTGTAGATGGAAGCACAAAGCGCAGATTGTAAGTCTAATCCATGGTCTCATTCTAACGCATATGGAGAAAGGCACGGTTGTTCCTGATCGGCAATTAATCCTAATTTTCAAACGTTTGGACTAGAGATTCTAGCAAGAGTAATATTTGATGACCAGGAGCAATGAACAATTATTAAAGCCCCAACAAAACAGCCTACCTTTTTTGCACAACAGTTTCACTTACTTTGACAAATTTGGAATGACAAATTATGGACACATTTCTACAGACTCCCTTTAGCTCCAAATCCTTAGTTGTTCTGCACTAAATTCCCACTCCTAAAGACCATGATGATCTAAGCTATTTGGGCCAGTTGCATAATTGCATGAATCACTGCAGCCCTAGGACTCACTACGGTACTGGAAAACCCTCGTCACTAGGCGTCGAGTCAAATCATCAAGACATTGACCAAGCTATACGGGCCGAGGACTGTAAACGGTCTGGACCCGTGGATGACTTCCACAACTATCCTGCTAGTCTAGGGATTATCTGAAGCTGAATATAAACTGATACACGAAACTATGTATGCATGAAGGTTGCAGGATATGGAATCCGCAATATTATACAGTACGACAGCCTTTTTAAAATCTTTCTTAACTATGCTTTTATCCCATTACTAAAAACATTCCCCGACGGATCTCCCTCACATGAGGGATCCAGAGTTGGTTAGTAGCGAGGCTAGGTGGCGCGTCCCCAGGTGGCGGATAGGGAAGTTAATCGCGGACCAAAGGCGACCGTTGCTTCCCTGAGACGCAGGTGGATCGAGGGGATTGACACCCTGTTTCTGCTGCGTTGATTTGGGACATAGTTTGTGTATTTGCTAGGCGTATTCACGCATGCGTGTATGGGTGCGTTCTTGCTTATGCGGATTGTATTCTACGAGTCAATTCGGATAAAAGATTGCAATCAAGTAACTGGGAAGTATACGGGAGGCGATTAAGATTCGCCTCCAACAAATAAGCTCCATGTCCACTCTGGGAGAGCTTGGCAAGCAACCCGTGAGTATACCTAGCCCCCAGGTTCACAGTCCAGCAAGCTATACGTGGGTATCAAAAATGCTAAACACAGTAAAAAAAAAACGACCTCATTCTCCTGACCCCGAAAGAGCCCCCAATTTCGCAGTGTTGGGTAGGACGAGTACAGAGAGGGTGCTAAAATCTCAAGGCCAACGGAAGCTGCCTGGATTCAAAAGAACTATGGTGACGATCTGTACCTACAATGTAAGCACACTTGCATCCATGTCTTAGATAGAAGATAATGCAAACGGGAAAGATAAGCTACGACGTCATCGGCCACGCCGACCCGAGACGACGCCACCCATTCAACGCCATCTATGACACCGGAGAAGAACTGGTCCTCGGAAGATGCAACAGTAGAGGAGTTGGCGGTGTCCGCGTTCTCGTCAAGACGAGTTTGTTCATGAACATCGATTCACTCGAACAACTTACAACCGGAATCGGACGTGTACGATTAAAAAGACGTGGATCAATTCCGGCTTTGACAATCTTCGTCGTTTACGCGCCGACATGAAACTATGACGAAGAAGAAGCCGAACCGCTCTATATGGACTTGGACAAGTTCTACAGAGAAGACCACATACTCTTCAAGGTCATCATTGGAGATTTCAACGCCAAGATTGGAGCAAGAAGAACGTCTGAAGAGCATCACATTGGGACCTATGGATTAGAATGGAACGAACAGGGTGAGCGACTACCTAAGTTTATCACGGCGACCAAGAACATCCATGGCAAATCGCATTTCCAGAAGCGGCACCCTCAACACTGGACGTGGATGTCTCCCAATGAAGAGTACCATAACGAACCAGACAACATCATAGTAAACAGAAGGTTCTGTCTAACCGATATCGCTGTCATTCCAAAATTCTGTACGGGATCAGACCACCGCTTCCACCGTGCAAGATTCTATTTCTTGCAAAGAGGAGGAGAAGCCGCTAGATTCAAAAAACGAAGCCCCAAAACCACCATAAACGGCGACTTACTCAATTCTTTAATCGCTTGTTGGGAATATACCGATGCCGATAACATCCACGACGAATACAATCGGTTCATTCAATATCTTCACGTTAGCGCTATGAAAGCTGAGAGCTAAGAGACGTTTCTCTAGAAACGCTCTAGCTGACACGCCAGCGTGGAATGGCACGAGGTGCAGGCAACGGCGAACTCATGTCCGAACGTGCAAAGCAATGCAAACAGGCGATAAAAGAAGATCTTAAAGAGAGAAGAACAGCAGTGATGGTGGAAGCTGTAGAGGCTCAGAAAAGCATTCGCTAAACCCTACGATTATTTTAAAAGTATTTGCAAAGCTCACCGAAGCATCACCAATTACAAGACCAAGATGACTGCAATCCGATGCCCAGAAGGAACGGTTGCAGCGTCCAGAAAGGCGACAGAAAAAATAATTCACGAATACTACTCAGATCTCTTCGATAGCCAAGTCCACCATCCGTCATACTAAATGAAGTAGAATGGATACGTTGTGCCACCGGTTCTCCTTTCTGAAATCCGACATACCATTTCGTCGGTAAAAAATCAAACAGCACCATGTCAGGACAGGATAAGACCAGAACACCTGAAGAACCTTCCGCCAGTCCTCGTAAACACACTGGCTCGGCTCTTCACATGTTAACTGACCGAANTCCAGAAAGACTCGAGCTGATATGGCAGCATGGAATCACGAGCTGCAGGAAACCGCGATCTAACTTCTGAACGTGCAAAACAGTGCAGACAGGCGATAAAAGAAGATCTTAAAGAGAAAAGAGCAACAGTAATGGTCGAAACTGCAGAGGCTGGGAGAAGCATTCGCTAAACCCTCCGAAGCTTGGCCCAATACAAGACCAAGATGGATGTACTCCGACGACCAGACGGAACACTTACAGCGTCCAGAAAGACAATGGAGAAAATCATTCACGAATACTACTCAAATCTGTTCGATAGCCACGTCTACGTTCCGTTATATGAAATAAAAGACGATGGATATGTTGTACCAGTACACCCTTCCGAAATCCGACATGCCATTTCGTCGGTGAAAAAACGAACAGCACCATGTCAGGACAGGATAAGACCAGAACACCTGAAGAACCTTCCGCCAGTCCTCGTAAACACACTGGCTCGGCTCTTCACATGTTAACTGACCGAAGGACCCTACTGAGAGGTAGACCAGCGAGACCGTGTGATTGTTCAAGAAGGCTGACCTACACGATATCGGCAACCATCGGCCAATGTGCTTGCTGTCTGTCGTCCACAAACTTTTCAGTCGAGTAATGCTAAACAGGATCGACAGAACACTGGACGAAGGACAGCCATGTGAACAAACAGGGTTTCGAAGGGGATTTAGTACGACAGACCGCATCCACACGATAACAAGGCTCATTGAAGTAACGCGAGAGTACAGAAGACCACTCTGTCCCACTTCCATCGATTTGAAGAAGGCCTTTGTCTCAATTGAGACAGAAGCAGTCATAGAGGCCCTTGATAGCCAAGGAGTTCCTACTCAGTATATAAAAATTCTTCGTGAGCTGTACAAAAATTTCAGAACCAAGATATCACTATTCTACAGCGATATTAACATTGACGTTAAAAGTGGGGTTAGACAAGGCGATACCATGTCGCCAAAATTATTTACCGCCATTTTCGAGAACGTCATGCGAACATTGGAATGGGATAACATAGGAGAGAAAATCGATGGTCGGCAATTACACCATCTTTGCTTTGCTGATGACACCGTCCTTCTAACACCAAACATTAGCCGAACGGAACGTATGCTTGCCGACTTCGATAAAGCCTGTGAGAAGACTGATCTTCGGCTAAATCTCGCAAAAACGATGTTCATGAGGAACGGATTGGTTTCGTATGCCCCATTCATCAATCTAGGCCGGGAAATCAACATGATGGACGGCTTAGCTCCAGAGGTGAGCCGAAGAAAACCAGTGGCTTGAAATAGCTTAAACCTTAGAAGAAAGCTATGATGCTCAACGAGTCCCAGAGCAAGCAGAACCCATGGGCTACTGAACGCGACAGGGAAAAATAGGAGATTTACTGGCGCCCACTCGAGTCACTCGACGATCAATGGGACGGCAGATGATACAGGTGAGAGCAGACCTCATACTTCCTTGCTTTGAAGGCATATATATATATTTTTCACAAAACGCTGTTTCAACAATCAAACTGCCCTTTTTTCAAAAAAAAATCTCAAAAGCAATTTTCAAAAGAAGTCGAAATAAGGTTCATACCCATTCAATGTTCACATAAGCACCACAGTTGCTAACATTACTGGGAAAGCAGTTAAGTCCTGCTGGACAACATCCCCTCTGAGCAACTGCTTTCGTATTCGAAACATGAACTTCACAACAGTAAAAAAAAAAGTGTCTCATGCGTCTCGAGAAAAATAAAAAAGCAACAGACTGGCTGAGGCTAAATAAGTTGTATCAAGCGTCTGCAACGCATGCAGAGATTATGCCAATTGTAATAATCTTTGTGAAAACGGATATATGTAATACAGCAATATTAGTATACTACTACAATTATCATTTTCCTTCTTCAGTAGTTTTCTTTTCGCCACTAATGGTAGGAGTAGGACGGAAGACAACTCTTAAAATTCTTATATATTCGAATTACACGAGCATCCAGTGCATTATGGGTGCAAGATATTCGACCTGTATTCCACTCACAAATGAACAAATTGTGACCTTCAAAACATGCAGCTTTTTGCACGGCAAAATCGGATTTGCAAACGTTTGCACCAATCCCAGATATCTGCAGGGAAATTTTGGCAGCTACTGAAGTATACGTCAGAGAACGCTATTAACAAGTTTCAACAACACATTCTGGACAATGTGCATTGGATTCAATGTATTACGATTTTACTGTTTTATCGGTGTACAAGCTTTCTTTGCGATTCTTCATTCTACTAGGACAATGACTTCCATCAGCAAATATTTCGAACTGGTCCTTATATTACGGTAGCTATCCTTTACATTTTATCATTGGAGAAAAAAATCTACTTGTACGAGATTTTCCGCATCTGTGAATCCAGGCTTAGTTCCTTATTACAGATAAGAAGGTTACTTGGCTGTGCCTGCTATGATGTCACTTAAAATCTCACCGATTTCAATACATGCTCTGTACGGCGAAAAATTCTACCTTGTCTCAAGTCGCAACCGTCAAAAATTAACAGTGTTGTGAATATGAAAGGAAACATGATCGGAGGAATATGCTTTTCTGGCGAAAAAACACTGAGTAGCCCTTTCCCATGGTCGTGAACAACGCTTAAAAACGGGAGTTGGACTAATGCTTCTACTATAACCTCATTAGGGGACATGTAACGCATTAATACTGACTCCTTCTATCACGATTACGGTGCTCGTTCTACCCCGTTTCAGTCTCACCAAGTCCTTCATCCTTCCAGAGCCGGGACCTGAGTTAAACATTTGTGAACAAAACGACAGTCCTCAAACAGCAGCCGAACCCAGAAGCGAAAAGTTCAAAGACCGTCTTGAATGATGGATGCGAGGAAACGAATCGACTGCACGAACTGCTAGGGACCGCACAGTAGATGTGAAGGCCGTGTAAATAATAGTGATGATGATGTTAAATTATTTAATAATAGCAGTAATAAGATTATAACCTCATTGAGAAGTTTGTTCACAACGTTGGTGTGGCCCGTTTGTGCAAATAACAAGCCAAGACCCGAGACAGCACTCGTCTGAATCAATGGATCGATCTTCAGGTTCAACATTGTAGGTCCCATAAGAAATGGCAAATGTGTCGTGAGCATTTTATGTACCTAAAGATTATCTGAGTAGATATGAGATAATATGTTATAAAACATTTAAACTCAATGTTTCTGCCGAAAATTATGGGCACTTTTAATACCACTGATAAAAGTAGTAGAAACGTGATTATTTTTGATGATAATAGGACTTGGTACACCCTTAATATAGTCGTCTGCACATTAGAGAGTACACTTAGAGCAATTCCATCCATAATTGGCAATAACTATAATATGAATCCATACAAATTCCCAAATGATGGACTGAATGATAGAAATTTACTTGTATAATTTGTACCTCTTTTACTTCTAATTATAACGTCACTTTGTTGTACAATTACTAAGTGCGTCGTGAGAAAGCGGAAAGCACAGTGGTAGTGATGCATGAGCACGGCGATAGTTTGACCCGACACCGGGTTCACGAAGCCTTCCATCTCTCCGGAGTCGGGAGATTGGTACTGGACTTGTTCGTGAAAAAAATCACTCTCTGCCTCGACCAGCATTCTACGACATTCGAAATGAAATGAAAATCCTCAAGCAGCCGCCGAATCCACACGTAAAATTTGGAAAATCTTGGTGGATGACGGATACGAGAAAACGAATCGAATATGAGAAGTGCTGGGATCCACAGAGTAGACGTGAAGAACGATCGCATAAAACAAGAAACAGATAGAAAATAAGTGAGTAATAAGTATTTCATTCGACAGGTAATAATGAACAACAATTTATGAAGCCTGGGAGATAGTGAAGAAGTACTTTCATATGTAATGGATAAATCACTATTAATGCGTCTCGACACAAAGGTAATTTTTAAAAAATGATAGAATTATTAATTGATCTTGAACAGTAACCAACTGCTGTTTTTTATGCGTTTTTAAACAACTACAGAATAAAGCGAGAAGACTATCTGTATCTTCAGACATTCAGCACAATACACTATGTTATGTCGCATCAAGTACAATGGTAGTGATAGCGGTCATTACGAGCATGGTGTTAGTTCGATTACGCTCCGCGCCAACCAAGTCTGTCATCCTCCGGGGTCGGGAAATTGGTACCAGACTTGTACGAGAAAAAAATCCCGGCTTTCTCAGGACTCCAAAGAGAATCGAGTTCACCAGCACTCTATGGCATTCATGATGAATGTTATAAAAACGATACACCCGATCTCATATTGTTTTCCAATTTGGATTGAAATATTAAGGTATCGAGGCAAGACCACATGTTCAGGAAAGTTCGTCGTTTTGTTTCGTTTTTTTTTTTTTGTAGGCACTGTGATACAGGAATGGCAGCAGAAATGTACGAGTCAAGAATCTTTCAGATAACAACCCGTAAAACAATACCATTCTACAGCTTTGAAGCTTATTATTGATCAAATAACTAACTTGTCGATCCCCTGTTCCAAGTTTCGACATTGCCATTCCAAGAAGGAGAGCTATTGATGGGAATTTGTCAAGTGATGCCAGAACCTCATGGATGTGGAACATATTGAAATTCGGTAGATGACCATTCATTCCAAATGCGTATATTAACCCTGCCGCCGTTGGAGGACTAATCTAAATAAAAATTGTATGAGAATTCACTAGACAATACGGTTTCGTTGGCTAACAAGATTCACTACATTGATTATTCGCATATTTCATGATAGATGTGTTCATCTCAAATAATAAGCCTAACCTCGTACAGTCTCTCATTTTCTATGACGAATTCCCTATAACGTCACAAACCTCCAAATTTCTAAGCAAAACCATAATTCACATTACTTAGCACGCTTTCTTGAATGATCAACTGAAAAATCTTTACAACTTAAGTACTTTTCAGACCGACAGTCATTTAACCTCGGTGTTAACAATCAACAGCTTCTTGGATTTTTAAGCTAACACGAGAATGACAAAGATTCGGATCTATCGCCTCTGATGAACCTAGTCCAATAAACATCTTTATCAACCTCGTGTTGGCTTATCAACTTATGTACTCTGAAGCCTAAAGAGTGCAAATCTATCCACTTTATGCTCTTCAGTTTGGAGTGAGTTAGCGTTAATCAAAAGAAGGAAAGACGAACGCTTCTTTAAGGATATGGACACAACAGAATGTAAACAATTAGAAAGTAAAACTTGTCCTCAACACCTTATGTCCACTCAACATGTCCTCAGCACCAGTTCTACGAAAATTATTCTAAACAAGATAAAAAGGAACTAACAGTTTCCTTACTTTATCATTAGTATGGCATAATGTAAGCCATTCATGATCAACACGTGCCACATCTGCTCCAACAATTGAAAGACCAGCGGAGACACCATTGTAAAATTCGCCCCATTCTCGTAGATGCTTCAAATGCTGTAAATCAACAATTGGACATTTCAATTATATTCTACTAAAGCATGCGATAATAGGAATAATTCGTTTTCATAGATTGAAGTGGTTAAAGAAGCCGTGAAATCCAAGTACGACTTCTACTGGTTCGATGTTGCCCCAAGCCAACAAAGCTCCTATTTCTCGGACACGTTGGTACAAAACTTGGCCGAGAAAGGCGTCCAAAAAACCGGCAATTATTAACTCTACAGTAAGAAAAAACGCCTTTGAAAAATCCTTGTCGCTATGTTGCAAACCTCACTAGTTCCAGAAGTGTCGACGATTGCCTATAGTGCCAACCCGGAAACGCATTAATAACCGTTTCCCAAAACTAGGAAGAATTTCCCGACCCAACATAATCCGAATCGAATAAAAACTGTTTGAGGCTAGAAAGATTATTGCATATGAGTCATTCGTGACATAAGATCACAAAACACCACCGCGAAAACTTCTTGAGGCTTTTTGGATAAATGCCGAAAACCCTACAATGAATAGCAGAGAGGAATGCTCAGAGATCACACGCGATCCGGCCCCGTATGTTCGCACCAATTTCTGATGTAGGCTGGTGCAGTCATCAACCACGCGACTATAATCAGCTGTTCTAATCTTCCCCATTGGAAGTCACGAAAAAAGCGGTGGGTTTTTTTCAAGAAGTTGTTGATCATGTAATTTGTTTTAGAGTTTTTTGACTTTTTGTAAGTGTTACTGAAGCGTTTAGCCTAATAAATTGTATATCAGTATACGCTTCCAGGCTCCGAAGAAGGCGATACTGCCGAAACGTCAGCCACTGTTGTATTGTGTTGTGTTTTTCTATGGAAGTAAATGTATGCTGTATAAAAACCTCCCGATTGCTGAACAAGAATATACCTCAGTTAGTGTAAGATCATAAGTGAGATTGGATGGATAAATTCTCGCTGATAAACATAGGTCTGGCACAGTTAAGGCTTCCGCCGGATTTGGTAGAACAGTGCTGAAAAGACAGCAAGTCGTAGTAGAAAAATATAGAACACTATGAAACATATACTGATTTCCAAACATCCTCAATAATAAGAGAATTCATTTCAGGCACATAAGAAATGGACAATATTATCACAAATTTATATCTGGTACGCAGATGAGCTAACCGAAAAGTAAAGAACGCTCTTCCAAACGCCTGTGAGAGATAGCGAGTCCATGTTGCCAATAGGAACTGTTCCTGAGCTTCACGAATTTCACCATCTGTTCCGGCATCCCTAGAACTGTTTCACACTATCATAAAAATAAATCTAGATAAAAACTGCTAATGAATCCATTTTCACATTTTCGTTTTCAGTAAGTGCAACCTCTACTGGAACGAAGTTTTAAAAATTTAGAAGACATGAACTATTCAGACACATATCTCCGTTAAAAACAACGACATAAATAGCTCACAAATGTTGGGTGGCTATGAGCACAGGTTTCGTACTGTCGAGCATTGCTCTTACATTGTCTCGACGCACATCCCTTGGCCAACGAATTCGGGCGATTTGGGCCATTTCATCAGGCTGCGGGAAGCTCCTAAAGTTGCTTTTATTGTGAAAAACGATCATAGTTTGCCCAGAGCGGACATTATTGCGGTTAGAAATTTGACCATGTTGGAAATTTCTTTAACATGAAAGTCGAGAGCAGTAAAGAAAAAAACACAACAGCCAAAACTCACGAAACAGTCTGGGGTCTTTTGAACTGAAAAAGCTCAGTTGATGTGTGTTGCCCAACGATGATACTACCAAGCAAAAGACCAATTGATGACGGCAACTGCTCAATGGTCCACCGAGTGAAACCAAACTCAGATATGAGGGCAACGCTTCTGTTAAAATATGTAGCGATAAGTGGATAATAGAGAATGGTAGTCTTTCTTATATAAGATTACAAGTACTCCCACAAGATTTCCGTATGGGTACGAAAGCAGATTTGGAAATTCGCGATCGCGCGGATACTAAGCCGCATAAAATTCGCGAAAAAGTAATTAAAATGGAAATAATTGAAATGATGAGACTAGTAACCATAATGATGTTGAGATATTTGCAAAACTCTGGACTGCAGGTTCAGCACCAAAAGTAGCTGAGAGACAGGGTAAACGAAGGACCAGCATGATGTGGTGGTGAACAAGTTAGTCTACGGGGAAGGTATTAGGTGAATAGCGCGTTTGTTCCCTACAGCAGACAACTATGGCCCGGAGTTTTGCAAATATCTCAGCATCATTATGGCTATATTTCACATAATATCTATGGTAAAATATTCTAGTTGGCAGCAAATAAAAGGCTAACAATGAGATTAATAGTTGTTGTACACTTAATAACGTTTAAACTGCACTGTTTAACAAAAAAATAGTTACAAATAGTGAGAAACGAAAATCTCGAAAACGAACTTTTGCGCCGGAGTTCTTGTTCTGTTGAACATGATCTCAGCCACTTTATCTACTTGGGCAGCACCTAATCGTAAACGTCGCTCCCAGTTTCTTCCTAATAACCGGTGCACATCAATCATAAGTGCCAGTCTGCCAGTTCCGAGACCAACACTGAGTACTACAAAAAGATTGAAGTTCTTAAAATTGCTCCATATTGTGCTATACTTGCAATTTATTTATGACTTTGTTGAGGACTGAATATGGACTTGACATGAAGACACAGATACGGGGTTACCTATATATAAACGATGTACTCTCCGTCAAATGATTATGCTGATATGAGTCGGATTTGTAAGATTTTGCGTTCGCTATGGATTAGAACATTATGGAAATCTAAATCTAAAAAATTCTACCTTTTCCTTACAATAGTACAATAGTTAACCACAGACAACATCCCTACTAGGACACATGGACGCCCCGTCCTTACTTGGATACTACTTATCTACTTGGCACTACACCTATTGCTTGATACCACTTACTACCACCTATTTGGACACTTAGACGGCCTAGGCAACATGTTAAGTGTAATTTAACTCACCAGTAAGTAATCTTGCTACTTTACTGCTACTACCTGTCAGCGAATGTGTAAAGTGCGGCTGCAAAATCTCGGCCACTGTTCTCCACAGCGAAAATGGATAATCCACGGAGAAGTTTCGTGTCAGATGACCGATTGGTGATGGCAGAACATCTACTTCTGAATAAAATACCTTCCAACATTAAATAAAGTATACCTCTTGGAAAGAAACTAGATTTGTTGAGAATAGCTCAAAGATGAATAATCTAATAATCTAAAATCGAATTTGAGAACCGATTGAAATTTCACCTAAACCATCAACGCGTTGAATATGGTAAACACAATCTGCACAATCCGGAAATTCAGTGCTGTACTGCCAACAGTACGACGTTAAACCGAAAACGCTGAAAGGATATAGTGAAGCAATAAAACTACAACTGATGAAAAGAATAGATCCCGCTGACGGGTAACTACTGATGGTATTGGTAGATAGAAAAACTAGCTTAGAGAGAGGCGAAACGTAGGACTCGCATGGTGTGGTGGTGAACGCGTTAACCCCTGAAAGGGTAATAGCGCATTCGTTCCCGGTCGCAGACACCTGTGGTCCGGAGTTTTGCAAATACCTCAGCATCACTGAGGTTGAACTTCACATAATACCCAGCTGTGAGAAAATGTTCTAGGCACCAAACAAAAAGTAATTATTGTGAAAAAAATGTTTCGGTCTTATAAACGTGCCTTGCGGCCGCATGGAGATAATAAACTACTTCTGACTTCACATGGAACAAGCCGCAGTCCAAGGACCATTCTTCAAATACACCATGGATAGCACCAATAACAGCATATGCTTGTGCATACAAAACTGCAGCTGAATCGATAGTGACAGCAACATCTGTGACGGGATTTTCAGGCTTTATTTTCGTCTTTGCCCGTTTCTGCAAAACTCCCTCTCCAAATCTGAGCAGGCGGTTCCAGTTCTGAAAGCCGAAACGTGAATCGACACTACGTAAGGATCTGCTATTGCAACAGTACCAGGAAAGTACAACACTCTCACCAACCGCTTACAAGTTCTAAAAATATCTGACATTTCTACGTATTTAGCTTTCTTAAAAATACTGTACTGTCAAGAAACATGTCGCCGGTATTCTCATTTGTCAATCTCGTAGACGAAATACTACGAATCGTACATAATAGTGCAACGACAATAGGCAAAACCTCTAGGTGACTGAAATTTAAATGTACACGTTTTTGTGAATATAAGAAAAACCCTGACCGAATGTTTCATGTAGGCATAACCTTTCGAAGCTCTGCAAAAAAAGAGTGCTCAGTGGAAATGTTACTGATTTCGCGGATTTATAATGATGTATGACGAAAAAAGGAGCAATACTAAAGTTGCTAGGAGTGTGATCATGCGAAATTGCGAAATAATTTTTTCGGTAAACTTTTCATCTAAGTCGACTTTTTTGAGTCTAACAGAATTCTGACACCATTTTTGCAATTCGAAAACTGTTTCTTTTCGTTACATCGCTTAAACGCCCTACAGAAGGATACAAACAGAAGACATAACGCAAGACAATCGAAATACAGGACGACGAAATAATACAAATTTCATGCGGCTAATTTGACGTGCGCAAAAGAACCATACCATCTCGCTGTGAGGACAAAGGATAAGGGACAAAAGTTATCGGTACTGATGCAATCACTGAGGAATGCGCCTTGCATTCAACTTCATTAAACATCGTTGGAGGTGACTAAATGCATATCTGGCTTACAAAATGACTAACAGATGCCTGCCGATGTATCGAGCTAGTGCTGTTATCCTCCCAAACAAGTCTGGTACCAATATGCTGACCCAGGAGCGATAGACGGCTTGGCAAACCTGCGGCGCAGGGATCGATCCCATGTCTACTGCAAGGCGCCTCCAACCACCGAGTTATACGCGCGCTGAAGAAATACAAAGGAAAGGTGTACTTCCCTTTCTAACGTTGATAAATATTCTCTTCATGACTAAGGTGACGATTAATTAGCTGTTAACAAGTCTTTATAACAAAATTACTTGGGAATTTAAGGATTTCACAGAGTTGCAAAAAAACACTACCCAATGCTCCATACCTTCCTGAAAAAAGCATCTTCATCCTAAACTTTCTTACCATATAAAACGAGACATTTACCGAGCACAATACATTTGATGTTTTATAGAATATTTCTAACTTCAATGTTTTTCATCAATAAGCAGACACGAGGTTGTTAATATAGAATTTATTAGAACACAATTGCTGACGTTTCGGC